TTTATACAATGTTCGGAATAAATATTTTTGGTGTCACTTCAGAAACTGGGGAGAAGCCGGTTTAACTGACTGTCATGACAAACAAAACAAAGGAATCTGTTTTTCTATAACTGGAACACCCTTTAAGATTTTGTGTTTTTAATAAATATTTTTTCAAGAATATCTACTGCTAGTGTTACCTTATAATCTGTAATAATACCTGTTTTATGTTTTAGACGCAATAATCTTACTTAAAATACATATAATTATTGTTTAAGATAAAGAACACAATATTCGTAAGAAAACTCACAACGTACAAATAACAACTTTAGTAACATTTCATAGCCGCGAACGTTTAGTTTATGGCTATATAAATTTGGAAAAATGGGCTATAAAAATTATATCCAACTCTACTTCCTTTATGAATTACGTGAGGAATTTCAATTTCCTCTTTAAATTTAATTCTAACAATAAAAGTTTTCCAAAATCAAACTTTTTATACGGTTATTCATTTGAAATGGTGGCGAAACTACAATCTATAAGTATTCTCTAATGTCACCAACTTTGTATGTATTGGGTGACATAGAAAAGTTTCGGTAACTTATGCTAACATTCAGTAAGTATATTTGAAATGATTTTTTTGTTACAGTTTTAAAATCATGTATTTAAATTTCAAGAATTCTTGTAATGAGAAAAAAAATCAAAAGGCTTCAGATTTTAATATTAACCCACATGTAAAGCGTCAAAAACAAAGCAAAAAACAATTAATTTAGTTTCCAGTTTGCGAAAGAGATGGCAATATAACGTTAAATCAAGTTGATGCTATAAACACTGCGAATATATGGTTATTCATATAGTGGCATTTAACGATTCAATTTCTTCAAAGAAAATCACATTACAGTTTTTTCTTTGCTTTATACTTATTAATGATCTAAATAACAATTTGATATGTCAAAAATTGAGTTCAATTGCCTGTTACCCCTTTATCATTGCAGGATTTAATTATCCTTGTTTTCCTTTCATCTGATCTTTGTTATTATTATATTTTACGATTTTTGTTTGTTTGTTTTTAAGCACAAAGCTACACAGTGGACTATCTGTGCTCTGCCCATTACAGATATTGAAACCCGGTTTCTAATGTTCTAAGCTTACAGTCTTACCACTGCGCCACTGGGGGGCATATTTTTTGAAAACACGCTAACATCGCTCCCTCTTTTTTCATCAGTATTAGTGAAAATCTCATTCTAGGACAAATGTCCAATTCTAGAACTATATGTTGTGTATCTAAAACTAAGAGTTTGGATAATGAGTAACTATAAATCCGGGTTTCTCAGAGGAACGGTCAAATCCCACTATTCGATCACCCAAGAGGTAACAATGAATACTGATTACAAACTACTTTCTCTCTAGTCTGTCAGTTCCAAATTAGAGACGATAGCTCTTATGCTGTTTTAAACAAAATTTGAAACGGACATTAATATATATATATATATGCAAAATAGTAGTTGTTGTGTTTAACATCAAACAGTTTAGCAAAATGATAACTTTCTCTCTTCTTTTGTATACATAAGATGATAGAATTGTTTGACTAGATTGGCTGCACTTAAAGAGAAGTTTGGCTACTGTTACTGGCAAGTTGTGTAGTTTAACTAAATTGGCTGTCCTTAAAGAGAAGTTTGACTGTTGTTACTGGCAAGTTGTGGAGTAACTGTGAGTAACGTGTTGTGGTATCTTTTGTATAGGTTTTGTTATAGTAAATTGATTAAAATTATGTGTGTTCGTATTATAACTATTTATTGTTTAGAATCAATAATGTTACAATTTTGTCTTGTATAGGTTTCATTACTAGTGGAGTGAAATTATTGATATTTTACAATTGAGCGACATCTGATGCAAAATATGGGCTAAAGTTCAGGCATAGCAATCCCTAATTTAGAACGTCAGACCAGAGGAAGGGCAACCAGACAGCAGCATCCACCGCCTATTATGCGTTCATTCCTAATTGAATAGCAGGATGATTGTCACGGTTATGATGCCACTATATTAGAAAATTTGGAGTATATCCAGCGTTATATCGCGGCTCAAACCAATGGATAGTTAGGCACACTAATCCGGCAAAGTGTAGTGAAATACTTCCATAAAAAATCACTAATCCAGAAATTTTATGGAGTCGAATAATTTGAAGTTGACGAGAAAGAGGTTTCTTCTTTAAAAGTATATGTTTTAGAGTGTTCAATTAATCAAAGCTGAAAGAGAGGTCGAAACAAGAAAAGTTAATATAAGTGAAACAATGTGTCAGCGGTCTGATCAAGCCTTAAAATAGTGTGTGCATTGCATATATAGATATAGGACAATTGTCCCACCAGTGATCTCAGTTTTCCTATCAGTGAATAGTCATTTCATTTTTCCGTTAACAAATCTTGCTTGAAATATTTGTATTTGGAGACTACTTGAAGTGTCATTGCTTTGAATGCAACTCTTTTGTTATAGAAAATTAAGTTATTTAACACACACCGATCAATATGAAATAGGTTTCAGCAAGGAACTGTACGTAAATATTAATTTCAGATTAGAACAACCTATGACTTAGAGCGCAACTAAAAAAATCAACCTGGTTATCACTATAGCTAATTAGATATATTTTCTTACTTTTATGCTGATAAAGATTAAAATGAATTGTTTCATCAGTTGGGTACACTTGCTGTTAACGACATGTTCGGCCATAATCCCAATAATAGTCCAGTAAGCTCGGCCAATTTAGGATATTTGGATTATTCCTAAATACATATATTAAGCTAATAAAGCAAAACCGAGTTTATAAAAAAGTTTACTAATAAAAAAAAAGTAATGACGTTTGATATACTAAATAGTATGACCAACACTGTTAATGAAAGTAACAGTAAATGAGTAATATACCATCTTTTACATACCAGTTTGTCCTTCACTGAAACTCTTATTTTAAGCTTAGGTCAGACGCTGTGTTGGCTTTGTGTACAAGTAAATGGATACGGAACAAATAAACAGTCGTATGTAAACCATAGATACTTTAAAATAGTCTTAGTTGAAATCGTCATTATTTTTAGATTCTTACAAACGTTATCCTGTTAAATCGTACAACTTCCTACAAATGAGTTATTGCAATCGAATTATATTACTTTACCAACTAATTATCTCAAAATCTCTAATGTCACAATCAGTTTGTACGATATCTGTCAGTCTCTAAAGAATACACTCGAACGTTTTCCTTTTACTATACAGAGAGGGGCAAAAGTTACTATCTGGTTAATACAGCTGTTATAGTTGCTGTTATACGGTTGATACTAAAGAAAATATTACGCAGAGAATCGAAACCAATTAATTTTTTGTTTATTTCAGTTTGATAAATAGTTAGAAATTAAGCCACGTTCTAAATGAAATAACTATATAGTCACTTTTGCACCACCTTGTATGTATAGCTTGCGAGACTTTTCAAACGAAACTAATTAAACTGAAACGTTACGTGTTTGGTAACTCACCGAAACAAATTACTTGCTCCAAAACTCTTACAATAATGTTTATTTAAATGTAAATCAGTGAATTTGGTGTTTATTATTAAACGTTTTCTAAACTCAAATCACCGATGGTTTTCAGTAGCAATGTAACAGATTCTCGCTGCTGGGTTCGGACTTCACTTTGATCATTGACTTACATAAAGTGATTAAGTTTTGTTCTCTTTGGTGCATTTTCTTTTTCTTTCGCTCACCGGTGGTTCAGTGGTAAGTCTGAGGGCTAATAACGCTGAATATCGGGTTTCGATACTTGTAGTGGGCACAGATAATCAGTTGTGTGTCTTTGTTCTAAACAACAAATAATCAAAAACTATTTTTTCTAAAGAGTATTTTGTATCAATAAAGTTTTCACTGATGTTGCATAACAGGCTAGTTTGGAAGCTAGTAGTATTTTTCTTTTTAATTTCCTGTAGTTGTCATCAACAGCGTCTAGAGCAGTCATTTCAATCACATCTACTTCAAAGAGTGTCTAAAACACCGAAAGAACATTAACTGGAGAAACACAAGTTGATTAAAGCGACACATTGTGCTGCTTCACCGCATCAAATAAATTTTTAGGACGACCTTTTTCAGACCATCTAGATAGAGACGCCATATCACATTTTGAAAACAAATTTATTGTTTATTCAGGCAGATTTTAACGGTACTGATATTCTTTCGTACTCCTATTATTTAGTTTCGATATTAATGGATAGTCTTCGCTGTAAATTTAGCGTTGGACGCTTACGATATTGCATTATTTAGTACACGAATGTTTGAGCAGGCAAGTGAAGGGAAAAGAGCGGTAATTAACGAAATGTTAATAGTGAAAAATCATTGTTTCTTAGTAAAAACCTATAATACTTATTCGTGTTTCATGACTTATATAAGCATCCTTTAAGTTTAACCAAGAAATTGTATGTCCTGTTCGTTCTCTGGCTTCACTTTCAAAAACTTGATATTTCATGTTTAGTATTGTTTATGTATTCCGCTTGATGGCGTATTGAATATCACGCTCTATCGTCCTCCTGTGCATGCACGTGCTTTCTGGTTGGAATTTAGTGTTCGCGCGCAACCTTCAAGAAGTAAATGCTGCATCGTCGTGTCGTCCGTGTTAGAGTTTCGAGAATATATGCTATCTTGGGAATGTAAAAGGACATAAAACCTGGCTGACGAAATCACGTCGTACAAGAGTTTATTCTTATAAGTAGAAAGACACAAACAGCTATGGTATGACAAAATATTATTATGATTTGTTGTAGAACATAAGATTTTTTGCTGTCGCTTGTAGCACAAATAAGTAATGATTTATATAGCAGAAAATAACGTAGTCGCATTTTGCCATGTGTTTTGACTTTTCTAGTGAAGTTGTGACACAGGTGTTTTCAACGTCTGGTATCTTGTGACAAAACGGTTATTTGAACCCACACCTAAATATTCAGCGTTGTTGAACTATCAACACAAGATTTGGAATAACACCTAACGATTTTCACAATGCCGGTGTTTGGGCAAAGTTTTACAGCTACAGGAATATTATGGGTGATACTATCTTTAACAGCATCTATCTGTAATTGTGTGGGGTTTTATCTACCATATTGGATACGAGGAACCATGTTTAACTCCACTGAAGTCAACTTTGGTTCTTTCCGTCGGTGCAATTACCCACGTCTCGATGAAAATGGTGCTGTGACCATTGTCTACGAATGCGGCCGATACGTCTCTTTTTATGATATTCCTAGTGTGTCGTGGCAAATCACGACCATAGTCGTTGGGGTAGGGGCCGCAGGGTCTTTACTTGTGGCTCTGACATCTCTCGCTTCGTGCTGGGTAACAGATGTGGTCACTAGGAACAGCATGAGAGCCTTAGGAGCGGTTCAGTTCATTGTAGGTAAGGCAGTCGTTACTAGATATAAGGTCAACACATTTTTTTAAAAGTGTTGTTAAATCGCAGGGCTAAGGTACAAACATCTTGTAAAACTGAACTGCAATTCAACATGCGTTGTGTTTCATATTACATTTCGAATGGCTAGTAAAACACTCTAATAAACAATGACCACAATTACAAATAAGGAGGTAAACTAGTTATGTGCAAAGTTTATTATTATCATGTTTGTAAAATACATACAAGAATTTTCAGTTCATTGTCGGGAATATTTGTTAATTCGTCATGAATCTATCATCTCTGAGATTTGTTGTCTTCTTCAGCTGCTAATGAAAATATCTGCATTTTTTACCGTTCACGGTTTCTTTACGTAAGCCTAACAAACAATTAAAATATCAATATAACGAAAAGGTCTTCGGTAGTTGAAGGAAACCATGTTGTTAAATAAAAGTGTGTTTAATAAAGAGAATAACAATAAGAAAAAACAAACAAACGAGTAGTCACTCTTTCCTGCAATTGAAATGTGTCCTACAAAAAGCCCATCTCCTATTTTTGTCCAGAACGTCTACATCGATCTTAAAATTACAGTGATTCCACGTTTATCAAGTTAGAAATAGGTTATACGACAACATTAATCCTGATATTATAGTGAACATATAGTTTATCAGGCTGGAGAACGGGTAAATGATTTTAGGGTGATTGTTATTTCGTTGCTTATCAAGGTAGGGAAGGGACACTTGACAACGTGTAAGTGAAATTTTAAATATCTGTGAAAGGGTATCTTAGAGATGATTGAACAGCATGTTCACAAGAAAGATGCGCAACTCTATCTATCCATGAATGCTATGAGGAAAAATGAGGAGTTTTAATTTTTATTGAAAATCTTCCTTGCCTAAGTTTCTTTAATTATAGTGCATAGAGTTAATAACAGGATAAATCCCTGATATTTTGTCTGAAAAGTCACATCATTTTCAGCTTTTTATTTAGATTAATCGAAGTAAAAAGTTATCTACTTTGAAACTGTTACTGAAAAGTTACACCACCTCAAGCTTTATATTTACATTGATCAATTTAAAAAAAAAGGTGTCTACCTTGAAACTCTTACCGAAAGTTACACTATCTCAAGCTTTTTTTACTCACATTTTTCGAAGTCAAAGAAACGTTGCCTACCTTGAAACTTTTACTGAAAATTAAATCGCCTCTTTTTTGCCACGAGTTAATAACGCGTTAAATACTTCGTAATTCTTATCGAAAAGATGGATCATCCCTCTTTCTTTCTATTTACATTGTCATAACGTTTATCAATGAAGCTCTTACTGACAACCTTCATTCGTAAGTTTTATGTTACTTAGACGTTCCAAGAACAATTAAAAGTATAGGGTTATTTATTTGAGATAATGTTTTTTTCTAACTTATACCATTTAAAAACGACAATCTTTAAGGTTGTTAGGTCAAACATCACTTATGCTACTGTCGATAATTAGACGCCAAAAAAGTATGGAGTTTTCGAACTTGGCACATGGAACACAATTTTTCATGAGCTTTGGAAAAACCATAACGGAGTTCTTTGGGTTTTCGTAAGCCAGATAATGTGGAGTTAGAAATATATATGTATCATAAATAATAAGAAATGATACAATTGGAAGAAGAAAAAAAGCACGGGTAGACTTTACAAAAGTAGACATTCACCCTTTCAAATACACATAAGATAAAAAGGATCACAGCTCTTTCTGTGCCATCTCCTATATGTGACAAACTCATGAATAAAGTGTACAGGCACAATAATGTTTTCTCTAATGCACACAACGGTAAAATGAACTTCTGGGTGGTACAAACAATAGCGCGTGCCATAAAGTAACGATAGCATAGCTTGTTAAAATGAATAAAGCATTTTTACATTACCTATAATCGTGGGTTTCTTTAAATAAGTCGTTATGACGGTAGCAGCATTTTACTTGTTATTGCTGCCAAAGCAACACTTCAGCTTGACGATTTATGTTATTCTTAGACATGATATTTGTTAATCTACTTTGTAAACATCGATATGGAAAATACGTATTGCATTGAAGGTTATAATTGAAAAGTTGTTTTAGTGCAAAGCTACATAATGGCCAATCTGTGCTCTATTCACCGCGAGAAATCGAACCCTAGATTTTAGCATTGTGACTCCGTAAACTTACCACTGACCTACCGGGGAACTGATTACAAATACAGACAAGAAAGCTCGTGATAACCAATCAAGCTATACATAGAATTTGAACTGTATTTTTTATAATTTGCCCTGAATAACAATTGGTATAAACATCATAGAATTTTATGTTTTTAATACGATGTAAAACCGCTTGTAGAAATGTTGCAAAGCAAAACACAACCACTTATAAAAATATCAACAGCAATAATAATAATTATTTAAAATAAACTGATTTTTTTTTTTTGGATTAAGAGAGTTTCCTAATTTGACGCAAGGCTACGTATGAGATATGTGCACATAATCGTCCCAATTTTGAACTGGTAGGCTACAGGAAAAACATTTTACAGCACCAACCACTACTAACACTTGGGCGACCCTTGGCTGATCAAATACTGGGATTTAGATCCAAAGTGTACGGGTGTCTTTCCGACAACGAGTCGCGAACATCAATTCTCGGATTCACATCCCGGGCACCTTAATAACTGGGCCACGCTTCCCCCAATTTAGTATGAACATCGTTACAAATGTGAAATGTGAGACACAAAAAATAATATTAAAAATGTTATATTCTGTTCAACCATAGGAGATATCCGAAGCTGTAAGTACAACACCTGCTTTAAAAACATTCAAATAAAAAGACTATCATAGCTGTACTGTTAACATTTTATTGATGTATAATTACACGCGAACTTTTTTCAACGTTAAAATACTTTTATTTGCAAGCTTTCAGCCCTCTTACCGTAGCCTTCATCGGGCAACAATGTGTAATTCTAATATTAATTTACCTACGTTACGAGTCTTAAAAAATAATGTTACCTATACTATGCCTTGTTAAGCTGGACAGTGTGATGAAGATTTAGTCTTAGCTACGTAATTATCATGAAACATGATAGTGATTCGTAGTAAGGATCCCAAACGTTCGGACAAAAAGCACCTTAAACAGTAAAGATTCAGATCAAACAACATTTGAAAACCTTTGCTATTGACTGCTAAGACTGTACATATATAAAAATGAAGAAAAAAACATGCATGTTAAACTTACAAAGAAAATAAAATCCGCTTGAAACGGCCGTTTGTTCTTTTACTTTTGCCTGCCTACAACAAAAATCACTTGATATATTGCACCCAAACCTTTTACAGAATACTAAATAAGGTATTGCAAAGATCATAGGGGTATTGAAAAATCGATTTCTTTTTTTTATATTTTACATAAGCTAAGAAAACATCATAATTCTGGTGTAAACGTTATTATTACCTCTTGAAGTTAGCTTTTTTACATACATCTGATGTTCCTTTAAAAAGCTGAAGTACAAGGTGAAACAGGAATTACCAGCCAATAACAGATGAACATTAGATGACTGTAACATGTAGATACTCTATGCTTTATACATTATGCGATCGGTGTCTTTAGGGAGCCAACCCCTATGTTATGTAGGAAGTCAAGGAGTAAAAGAAATCAATACACATTATACTAAATTTTATAACACACATTCGGAGAATAATTGCTTTAAGAGACACGAAGGTTTATTTAAAGCAATGTTTTAGATGTATATGTTTTATTTGAAAGGCTGCTTTTCTACTGGTGAAATTTTATACGCGCTTAGTGAAGGTTGTGCCTTAGTCTTGACATATATTTGCCCATTGCTATGCTTTATATATAGAGATAATTTACTTACGCAGAAACTATAAATGCTCTCTATATTCTCAAACAAATCATCATGACAATCTCCAGCTGCAGCTTAACATTTTACATATCCAACTAATGCGATCAAGTAGTCAATAGCTACAGTAAATCATCATGAACCGTATCAGCTAGCTACTAGCTATTGTTTATTATCATTACAATGTATAAAGTTAGCTACCATATCAAGTAATCCTTTGCCAATAGTTAAGCATAAAAAAAGCCAGTAAACAAGATAAATAACAAATTGGAAATTTAAAAACCTGCAAATAGGGATCGTAAAAAAAGTAAGCAAACAAGGCTGGAGATACTGTAAACATTATTTACTCAAACTACAAATCCCTATTTTGATTCCACCAAATGTAATTCTAGATAACAGCACGGAGCTGTTATTCATCTTGTAATATCAAGCGCCGTGTTCCAGTTCAGCAATCTTTTCATGAATAGCTTCATTCAAAATTATGCATTGTGTTCACCACATTATTGTTTCAAAATGAATGCACCTCATTTTTTTGTGCACCTCATTTTTTAACTATTGCCAATAGTTAAGCATAAAAAAAGCCAGTAAACAAGATAAATAACAAATTGGAAATTTAAAAACTGCAAATAGGGATCGTAAAAAAAGTAAGCAAACAAGGCTGGAGATACTGTAAGCATTATTTACTCAAACTACAAATCCCTATTTTGATTCCACCAAATGTAATTCTAGGTAACAGCACGGAGCTGTTATTCATCTTGTAATATCAAGCGCCGTGTTCCAGTTCAGCAATCTTTTCATGAATAGCTTCATTCAAAATTATGCATTGTGTTCACCACATTATTGTTTCAAAATGAATGCACCTCATTTTTTGTGGATCTTGAATTTCTTGGTCCGTGTCCCGTTATCGCCAAAAGAAATCGCATTCTGCACTTTGGAGCCGTGGGTGCGTGCGTTATAGAGTGACGGTGAAATCCCAATTTTCGATTTGATAAAAGTAGCCCTAGACTTGGCGTTGACTTCCTTTTAATCTATCATTTCAAAGTTAGGGACAGCTAACGCTGATAATCCTCATGTAGCTTTGCACGAAATTCAATACACAAACAATTTATCCTTCCGTGACTGTCTCACTGATACTACACACTATAAGACACGAA